GCTCTCTCGATCAGCTGCGGGAGCTCCAAGATCAAGAGATCTGACTGTTCAGTGGCAGAGATTTTTAGGTGTGCAGCAGGTTAGATGTGCAGCATAGGTTACCGTGGTGATATACCCAGGTTAGAAGTGAACCACCTTCGTCGGACTGAAAACCCAGGGTTAACCCTGAAGTTACCTCGCTAACCCCAAATCTTGCTTCATAGTACAGACCTCTGGTCTTTTCAGTTTAATGCCAGATTTATTCGTCTGCGTCTGCTAAATGAAATTGTAACATTGTAACATTAGCCACTGACCTTTGTTATGTCAAATAATAAAATATTGTATTTCTGATCTGAGGCTGACGTCAAGCATGGCCCTTTAAGGTTTGTGAAGATTTATTAACTTTTTATTTTTTATTTCTCTTCAGAGAAACATCAGCCTGAACTGCCTCATCAAGTGAGTAAAGTAAAATCAGAAACACATTAAACAACAAGGTTTCCATTTATTTCATTTTATTGTTACATGAACATAATTATTCTCATCTTGATAGTAAAGTGGTGGAAAAGGTTTTCAGCTGCAGATGGTAAAGAAGGAGGGCAAAAAAAGTACTATGTTGTGATGATGTTACAAAAAGAACACACTTAAGGATACTTTGTTTTTATAGAAATTGTTGGAGCCAAAATGTGGGTTTATGTTTTGCCCTTTAGTTTTCCTTTGGGTATGTGTGTGTGTGTAATCCCTTTACTGGACACCGTGTGGAGCCTGAGCTGATTCTGTGCTCCAGGTGATGGTAGCAGGTGAATGAATAGTTTTCAACCCTGGCAGCCTGTCAGAGGTGAGCCTGATTTTATTTAATATACCAGATTTGTCTATTATTTAGCATATGGATGCAGTGGGACATCGTTTCATCCTTAGAGCTGAGCACAAATCCTAAATATCTTCCATATTCATCCCTCAAGTGACTTTTTTTTAGACAATATTGGATTGGTTAAAATTGGTCACTACAGTAAACTTCAAATCTGAAATCATCATGGTGTCACTGTGACTAAGGTACTTGATTTTTATTGTTACAATAAGCTGTTGAGGTTGTGCTTTGCCTGTCAGCACCTGTGTGTCTGATCAGACTTAAAGCTGTTTGTTTGCTCTTACTGACATTGTTTCCTTTTTTATAGATCCTTGTTTGTGTTTTACTTACTCTCTGATGTATGTTGCTTTAGATAAAAGCGTCTGCTAGGGGAATTGTAGAAATGCAGAGAAATAATAATAATAATTGAAAAAGAGTGAATACTGATTCTGATGGGTTTGTGTAAGTCACTGTGGAGAGTCAGTTATAACTGTGGTGTGGTGGTTGAAGAAAGGGTTAATCATCAGGGTTTTAGGTTCCTTTAATCTGAATGATAGGAATCTATGAATTCTGGATTTGTGGAATTGTCTGTCTGGCTACACATTCAAACATTAGAAATGCTAAATACACACATCAGCTTTCTTACACCATGCTGTCTAAATGAACATAAACAATATGCATTTAGCTTCCAAATAGCTCAAAGAATGCTAACAAATTAAAAGTATTTCCAGTAATGCTAACAGAAAGAAAAGTATGAAATAAACACAAAAAGAACTTCTATTATTGAAGCACAATCTCCAGCTCTCACCAAAACATAAATTTTACTTATTGACTGCAAAACTTACAATAATACTTCATTTGTATGGCACATTTCAATACAGGTAACAAAGTGCTTTACGACAGACAATAAAAGCAAACCGAATATAAAAGCAGCAGACAGGCAGTAAGACAAACAGACAATAAAAGCAGACTCATAGAATAAAAGATTAAAATTCAAAATGAAACCACAGATTAAAAGCTTTTTTGTAAAACAATGTCTTAAGTAGAGAATTAAAACGAAGGACTGACTCTGCATGTCTGATCTCCTCTGGCAGGCTGTTCCAAAGTCTGGGGGCTCTGTCAACAAAAGCCCTGTCCCCTTTAGTTTTCAGCCTGGACCTTGGAACAGCCAGCGGAGATCTGCCAGAGGATCTCAGACTGAGTCCTGGTTCATAAGGGGTTAAAAGCTCAGAAATGTAGATGTGACAATACTGTCATAACTTAATGTTGATGCCAGTGAACTAAAGTTTTGTCTGCCGTTGAGATGAAGCACATAAACGCTCTCTGATTATGTTGACTCCATCAGAAATCCACCATAACATCACTTCATTGGACACTTTGGGAAACATTGAGAGGCTTAAGATATGAAGAGCACGAGCTATTCAAGCAACACCTGCGGCATATTGCCCAAGAAAAAGGCCTCCCAGCCCCAGAACGACAAGTGAAGAAGGCAGGCAGAGATGATATAGTGATGCTGATGGTGAACATCTATGGCCAACAGTCTGTTGAGCTGACCAAAGACGCTTTACAGAGAATGAACAAGACTGATCTGCTAGAGACGCTCTCAGGGACCAGCTCAGGATTCAACACTGAGAGTAAGAGGATGAAAACTGACACATTACACAATTATATATGCTTCATTAAATATTAAAGACTACAGACATTGTTGAGCTGAATCAAGCCTCCTTGTTTTTGTGACGTTAATAATGAGTACACTTAAGTTTAACTTTGTGCCAAGTACCGCACATCCAACCCACATAAGTGATACATTTTTTATTTATTTTTAAGATATTGAGATGATGCCATGTTATATTTTATTCACAAAATGACTAAAACTGACTAAAGCTGCTTTTTGTCTGATTTGATTGAGTCCGTTTCTCTCCCCCCTTAGAGAAACTTCAGCAAAAAGATCCACAACATGTGAGTAATGTTACATCAGACACTCTACAGTTTTCATTTCTAACTATTTAATTAACAATATTTACTTACTTTTTTGATGAAGCAGGAATCAACCATGACATCGGTCCATTCACAGCTTTTAGAAACACTGGAAGAATTAGGTTCAAGGGACCTGGAGAAATTCAAACATGCCTTGCTGCACACTAAAATGAAAGAAGGGCTCCCAAAAATCCCAAGAAACCAAGTGGAGACCGCAGACAAAGATGAGATAGTGAAGCTGATGGTGGAGATCTATGGCCAACGCTGTGTGGAGGTGACGAAGGATATTTTAGAGAGGATGAACAGGACTGATCTGGTGGGAAAGTTGTCAGAAAGCAGCTCAGTATCTAAAGGTAAGTTTTTTAAAAAAAGTGTTATTTGACTATAAAACATTAGGTGTACAGAACCTGGACTGCATTTTTAAACCTCTATCTTTTTTTTAGTTTTATAACACTTCTGTGACGCTGATCAGCAGGGGACAGAGGCAACATGTGTTTAGGCTTTTCTGTCCATTTGTTTGTTGAATGTCCCATGTTTTTAGCTAGAGTGTCTGGAGTAAATATCTTTAAAGTTTGCACAAACAACCACTAGGATAAAGCAATAGTGTGATCAAAGGTTAAGGTCACTCACCTCACATCAGTCCCATTCTCATGATAGCAAAATCACAGCAATGGATAAAGGGGATTATGTTGGGATGGGATGTTGTTTTTAAAAAAAAAAGTCTGATAGAACATCATGCGTACAAATTCTCAAAATGTAGGTCCAAAGTTTTGAACACACTACCCTTTTTCTTCATGTTTTTTTTTCTCCAGCTGTTAGGAGAAGGGTTTACGAACATTCACATGCTCTGCAGACAAACACAGATAAAAAAAAACCAAACACCTCTTCCAGGTCAGTGTTCTATAACCCCGACCCGACGGCAGAAAACAAGAGATACATATAAGAGATGTAAGGTTACTATTCGATAATATATGTCTGAGTAACATACTTTAAAGAAACCTTTGTGTCTTTCCAAGGGCCTTTTGGTTGTGTGGAGCCTGACGACTGTGGACAAGAAATGGTAATCCCATCCATCATTCATTTGTTCCGTTTCTTTTTAATTCAGTATTTATTTTATTTATTCATTCATTGTTGCCAATATAAAATGATTGTCTCTGTCAGCCGGACTCTGGTCACTGGACCAAACTTGATCCTGAAGTGAACAGTACTGATGGAGATGAGTCTCCTACATACAGGTACAAATATCTTCCTTAATACTGACCAACAGCAAATAAGAATTTTGACCAAATCAAAACAATACTTTTCTTTGTTACTCCTTTTTTGCCTAAAACAGTACAGTACAGTTATATACAAACTCAGTGATGTCCTTCTGTGTCACTTAGCCTACAGAGTGAAGTAGGAAACGGTTTTGAATGCAATGTCTCCGGCATTCGCTGGATCTGTAAGGATAAGGTCAGCTTTCAGTACAAGTTTTGCTCTTGGGAGGAACACATTGAGAGGATGGAAAGCTTGAAATACTTGCCTGCAGGTCCTCTAATGAACATCAAAGTCATTGCTGGAAAGTTTGATGAAGTGTACCTGCCACACTGGATCTGCATAGGTGAGTGGAAATACAGCAGAAAATAACTTAAAGGTCACATATTATCCTCCTTTTAACCCAGATTAAATATGGTAAGTCTCAGAGGTCCCCAAAACATGCCTGTGAAGTTTCTTGCAAAAAATCCACGACTATTGTGTAGGGCAGACTCAGCGGGCAGAACAAACACCGGGTGTCACCCACCTGGGGGAAGGGGTTACTGCCCTTTGTGATGTCAATAAGGGGAAATCTCTAAACGACTTATTTGAGCACACATATTCTAAAAAAAGGGAAGCAGGCTTTTCTCATAATTGGGTTTGTAGACAGACTATGGACACATATTAGTGTTCTGAAAACATGGTGAAGTGTATTTTGCATAATATGTGACCTTTACAATTGAGCAACTAACATCATTCAAAAGAAAAACTGCAAATATTTATTTTCACTTATGTGTGCATTTGTATTTTGTGCAGACGGCAACACTGACATATTAGGAGAGTTTGCCGTCCTCCACATCGATGACTGTGGTGATGTTGTGGAACAAGTTTCCGAGGTCACGCCTTGCCATGTCAAGTTAGCTGAACCAGTTTTTTCGCCAAAGGGGGTTCTGATCAAATTTGGTGTGCTGCAGCGTGTTGATATTTAAGAACAACAAAGCATTCCTCAAGCTCAATGTTTATCTGATCCCGTGTGATCCTGGTCTTCGACAGGTTATTACTTATCCTGATTTCATAAATATAAGTGATTCAAATCATGATTGTACCAAAAATTATCACAAATCAGCTTTTGTTGCAACTTTCTATTGTGTTTTTTTTCTACAGGAAATTCTCAAGATTGAATCAACCAACGGAAACAAAGAAATTCGAAAACCACCTGAATATAAGCACTTGAGAATGAAGGATCGTTTTATCCTTTCAACCGATATGGATGGTGCAGTAATTTGTCCCAAAGTATGTTTTGAGCTGCATTTAAATCTATGAACTGTGGTTCTGAATAGTTGGATACTGTTGGATAAGTCAAATTAAACAATAATTTAAAAGTAGGGTTGTCAATAATAATGCATTAATCACAATGTGATTAAGGTGCAAATTGAATGCATTAATTTGTTGTAATCATCTATATTGTGTGCTTTATGACGCTTTCAGTGGACCATCGTAATCCCACCGTAGCGTCTTCTTTATTCTTGATGCCACAGAGATAGATGATAACAATAGCACTTCACTTTTGAATGGCTAATTCACACATTCCGCACAGTTGACAAGTCTAAGTAATAGGCACCTTGTGTCAAACAGAATTAAAAGATCAACAAAGTACGAGTGTGTTTTATACCTAGCATTTAAACAATATTTAGCAAGATACAGCAGATTTATCTTTTTATGTCTTTTTGATTCAAAAGAACATATCACCTTTTTAAAAAATGCATAAATTATAGCAATTTAAAATCTGGTGCTACATTACTTCAATGTCTTTCACACATTTTTCCCCCACAGGAAGTCAAGCTCAAATATGAATTCACCGATCCACAGTACTTTCAAGTATGTATAAGAAATCCAGACACAGACTTCATCCTCAAGCTTACAAAAAAAAAAGAGAATACACCAGTGTGGACCCGCACAATTGACAAAGGTTTGAATACATTAAAACTGTTTTTTTACTTAGAATTATTACTGATGCAGAGTAGGTGTCTGCTTTTAAACAAAGCAGCAGATCAAAAATAAATTATTGATGTAAATATTTTACTTTTCACTTTTCAGATGATTACCAAAGCAATTCCCATGCACCAGGTAAGATAAAATAAGATAATCCTTTATTTATCCCACAGTGGGGAAATTTACATAAGGGTGGTGCCTCGGATTAGCTCTTCCAGGCGATGGTGAATGGACTTGATCTTGGAAAGTGTTTTTCTAGTTTCTGACTACTGAAAGCACTTTTACACCGCATGTCACACCTACCCATTCACACATTGATGGTAGTGGTCGCTATGTAGTGAGACCATCAGAAGTAACTAATCCCATTCACACACCGCCGACAAACAGCGGGAGCAATTTGTGATTAAGTGTCTTGCCCAAGGACACATCGGACAAGTTGCTGCAGGGATCAAACCCTCAACCTTCCGATTGGGAGACGACGACTCTACCAACTGAGCCTTAGCCGCCCCCAGAAAGTTGGCTGGCTCCCTTTTCTGCCGCTTCATATGGGTTTTTGTTGAACCTTTCTTAGTCTTGGTCCCTATTCCGTAGTGCACCAGTTTGGACCCGCACAATTCGAAAAGGTTTGAGTACACTAAAACGGGTGTTTAACTCTCTAGAATTATTAGTGAAAACAGAGTAGGTGTGTCCTTTTAAACAAAGCAGAAAGTCAAAAATAAATTATTGATCTAAGCATTTTACTTTTCAGATGATTACCAAGGCACTTCCCATGCACCAAGTAAGACATTTTAAGTAATCATTCTTTATGTGTTTGGAAGAACAACTCTATCTTTCTTACTGTCAGCATCACTGTTCGAGACGAGATGCTGAAAAAAAGGGAAATGATCAATATTAGATTTGGGGAATACATTATATCCGGTATTTTCACTGCTCTGCATTGTGGTAAGACAGTCCTCTCCTATGGCCCTGAGTCTTTTTCAACAGTCCAACATTTAGATCTTAACAGCCTTCGCACTGTGTTACACTATAATGGCTGTTAAGATCAGAAAGACAAGAAAAAAAATGACCACCATATTTATTTGTGATGTACTGTCGAGTGATATTGGCCATAGAAAATCAAAATCAACACTAGTTAAGTCTGCAGTGGACAATCCAAACTCTTGCTCTAAGGTGGGCCATTTGTGTGTTTTATTTTTTTTTAATACACACTTAAAAGGGAATTTGAAAATAGTGTTGATAAATTGTAGAGGTGGGGAAAAAAATCGATACATTATAGTATCACCATATTTTGCGTGCTGATATATCATGTCATGGCAGCTAAGTATAGATATTTTTGATATATCAACAGTAAATATGCTTTTTTAATTGTTGGAGGCGACAATTTATTTTGAACAAGTTGCATTGTTCAAAATGTCTGTAATTGTTCAGTCGTTTATACATGTTTAAATTCAGTAAAGTTTGATTTGACTGAAACACAAACAGTTCAGATTGTGAGGTGCATGCAGCCTTTAACAGGGTTTTACTTTTATCACAGAAATATGCCATGAATATGCCACACAAATGTGCCATGTCACAACTAGATAAGACAAATCCTCCAGAGCAAATTATATTTCTTTATTATCATGTAGTATTATCGGCGTGGTCACTACCTGGAGTCTGCATAAATAGAGCCTAGCACTGTGTCTGAACTGTTAATGATTATTATTTGTTCTTATCTTACTCTGTTATCCTTTTTTTACACCGATTTTCTTTGAATGAAACCTTTACCCCCTAATTACTTTGTAATACACTTTATTTTTTTGCAATTAAAAAAAAAAAATGTTTTATTTGATGCTCTTCGTGTTGCCCTTTTGTGTGCTGTTCTGTTAGAGCAACCTGGCACAAGAGTTTACTTCATGATTGAAGTTCTTTTTTATATTCATATTTTTACCAGAAACATTTATGTAGCTTATTTCGCAAAAGAGTTTCACTTTATAATTTGCCGATAGAGAATGAATGCCAAAACTATACAGTTAACATAAATAAACCCACACTCAGCCCAGTTTGAAAACTACAGACCGGTTTCACTTCTGCCCTATCTGTCAAATGTAATCTAGCGCACAGTCTTTAATCAGGTCTCTGAGTTTCAATCCACAAATGATCTATTTGACCCAAATCAGTCAGGTTTTAAACGGGGCCACTCTACTGAGACTGCATTACTGCCCGTAACAGAATCGCTACGAGCGGCTATAGCTGCGGGATGGTCCTCTGTTCTACTGCTAGACCTGTCTGCTGCCTTTGACACAGCTAACCATCAAATCCTCCTATCCACGCTCTCTGAACTTGGCATCTCAGCATCTGCCCTCTGCTGGTTCGTGTCCTACCTCTCAAGGAGATCTTTTAGAGTGTCTCTAAAGGGAGAAGTGTCAGAAGCACACAATTTATCAACAGGGGTGCCCCAAGGGTCAGTGCTGGTTCCCCTTCTCTTCTCCATATACACAAGCTCACTTGGTTCGATAATCCGCTCTCATGGCTTCTCATACCACTGCTATGCTGACAATACCCAGCTCTCTTCCTGTCATGCCTTGCTGATATCTCTACATGGATAAATAAACGGCACCTTCAACTCAACCTTTCAAAGTCTGAGCTCCTTGTCATCCCAGCCAGTCCCTCTATGCAACCACAGATCAATATCCAACTTGGTACAACCAAACTCATTCCCGCAAAGTCTGCCCGGAAGCTGGGTGTCGTGATTGATGACCAGCTAACATTTAAGGTTCAAGTGGCCTCGATTGCCCGGGCATGTCGATTCGCCCGAGGGTTGTAAGACGCTAACTAGACTCTTCTCCTCTGTCGCCCCCCGGTGGTGGAATTTTAATTGCAGAGTCCCTTTGCACCTTTAAGAAAAAGCTTAAGACCCAGCTCTTTATGAACACTGTTGGGGTTGTATCAAGTCAACTTTGGTTATATTCTTTAATAATTATACTTAATTATTAATAATATAAATAAAATATCATTAAACTATGTTTAATCTCGTTTTGGGGCACCAACCTGTAATCATGTAAATATAACCAAAATATCACTCAAATCAGTCTCAAATTAGTTATTTAATTACTAATATAATTAATAATTAATAACTATATTTAATAAATTGAAGGCGTGAAATCCGTACACAAAGCCTTTGCACCCAGCTTATATGACAATGTAAATACACCAGTAAGCACAAACAATTGCTCTCTTAAATGATAACAGAATTTATTTAAACAAAGCAACATCAATCCAAAATCAATGAACTTAATTAAACAAATAACTATTATAAACTAATCTAAGCAACAAACATTATCAAGCAAAGGCTTGTGGAAGTGTGTGTGTGTGTGTGTGTGTGTGTGTGTGTGTGTGTGTGTGTGTGTGTGTGTGAGAGAGGGGGAAGAAGAAAGGGGGGGAGATGGCGCAAACCTAACAAAGACCTGGGTGCATGCGAGCGTGCGTGCGTGCAGGCGTGCGTGCGTGCGTGCGTGCGTGCGTGCGTGCGTGCGTGCGTGCGTGGATGAAAGGGAGAGAAAAGGGGGGTGAAGATTACTTCGTCCCACGTGGTCGCCCTTCCGATGGCGCACACCTAACAGAGACCTAAATGTCTAAAAGAGACCGAGTTCGGCCCTACACGATCTGTGTCTCTGAGGCGTCGGGATAGCCGCGAGTGTATAGATCTCTGTGCGTAATGGCGCGGTGGTGGAGTTGGTCTCCAGATGTACGTTTACACGGGAATATGTGTGTGTGTATGTTTGTAGAAGGGGAAATAAAAGAGGATAAAAGTGAATAAAAGAGAAATGCGTGCCTGGAGAGGCCGGATCACAGTCCGACTCCCGCGCCACAACTCGGAGTAATTCCCTTCATTCACAGAAACAAACCAATAGCCGAATTCAAGTTAATACAGCTTACACTGGCCTTTCTGATCAGAAGAGTAATACCCGGTTATAACGCTGTTACGCTAAACACATATAGGACGCAGCGGTCCGAAACAACAACAAGCGTTTTAAACAGTTAAAACTCAGGACGCGGCGGTCCAACAAAGATAAAAATTACAGTTTGTGCTTCGATCAACAATTGTTAAAAACACTCTTTAAAGCTAATTCTGCCCAGACCTAATTAAGCCTCACTTGTGAATCGCTTTGTCCGCGATTGGTGAAAGGAAAAGAGTCCGGCGATGGAGCAGATCTTCTGTCCGTCCTGGTGCAGAGGCGTCTGATGGCGGCGAGGGTCCCTTACGGCAAGAGCGACTTCGTTGGTTCTCCGTCAAGTGGAAAAATGTCCTCTGACGTCCTTTCGTTGCAGGACGGAATAAGACCGTTATCTTTCTGATAATCTGTTATAGTCTGACGCTCTGCGAGAAACTGAGATGCGTTCACTGGACAATCCGAGCTCGGAATTTAGAACACTGCCGGCCGCGGATTACATGCGCGCCAAAAAAACTTAAAAAAAAGGAAGATTGTTGCAGAAACAGGAGGTGAGCTTGGGTCTCCGAGCACTAGAAGTCAGTGCGTGGAAAGAGGTCGAGCAATGGAAGTCTTGGAGTTTTTGTAGCCTGGCCTGCTCCATGAGGGGTCTACCTCAGGTCCCCTCCAATGAGGAGAGAGAGGTTCCGTTCCCCCCCTTACTTCACGCGTAGGTGTGAAGTACCGCAGGGGATTCTGGGATTAAGAGTCCTTTTAGGCCTCTTTGTGATCTCAATGAATAACTCAAATGAGGCTTTTACAGAGGTGCAGGCCCAAATCCATTGTTTGACTGTCCTAAGCCTGCGTGGCCCGACATCCCCCCTTTGTCCTGAAGAATGGGATTGCGGGTCGCGGTCTTTAGGGCAAATAGGGCCAACAGTCCATGTGTTAGGAGACAAATGTTCAAATAGTTAGTGAGCAAAAGTCCATACATTTTGAGAGGCATTCGGTCTGGGCAGACACTGAGGCAAAGTCTGGGCAGACTGTCTAACTATGTCTAAAGCTAGGCATAAAACATAATCAGGCATTAGCAAAGCTTTGCTACTCAAGGTGCATTCTTTAACAAAACAAATGAAACAAACAGACAAGAGGAGGAGAGAAAGAGAAGAGTATCAGGTGTAGATTTGTGGGCTAACTCCTAGCCTGGGCAGGAGTAAGCCTGTGGGAAGGTGTTTGTGGCATGTAGGTGTGTAAATGTACATGTACATTATGTGTCTCCCTACCAATGTCAAAACACAAAACAGGGACTAGGAAACATTCATGTCGGTAGAGTGACATTGTTGTGTTTCCAGAATGGAGGCTACACCCCCACTCCTATGTGGAGTCAGAATC